CTCTTCCAATTTGATCCTCATATCCTTTGGCTTGTTTACAGTGCATCTTCACTGAGATTTTACCATTGTTCTCACTCACCCCTCAGCCCAACTTTCATCTTCTAACCTACTTATATTCTCCGCCATCTTTCCTTGTCATGCATATCCTGACACAACTGTCTCTTCCTGGCATTACTACGTTTTAGTGAGAAAGTCCTTACCAAGACTGTCACAGATTTCCATGTACTGCAGCCATACTAATAACACACCAAGTGTGCCCTCTTTTCAGAGAAAAGAGCACTTTTCAGAGACAGGGATCCAGTGATGTAAACAAACCAACAGCTGACTGAAGTGGTTATGATGCCAAAATTAACAGCTAAAGGGTTTTTATGTCATGAGTTCAGGCAGCCACAATACCCTGGGATGGTCATCCAGTCCTCCTTGGGGCAAAAGATTCAATGGCATCAATTGCAGAACCGCATCTTAATTCAAATACAAAGTAACAGAAGTCTGCAAAAATAGTATATATCATGTACTACCACATCTACTACCAAAAAAAAAAAATCAAAACACCAAGGTAGCTCACTTAGCCTTAAATACCGTGTGCAAAGAACATTTGATCAATACTACCTATAAATACACTATCTGTATTTGTAGAAAGAAGCACAGTGCTTCATATATAAAAATAGCCCAACTTGCGGGTGTGACCTAGGCTACAATTACCTGAAAATAAGACTGCAAGAGCAGTTAAAAAAATAGAAGTAGGCAAACATCTGCCTAGGCAGTGTTTCCATTTAGAAAAATAGATTTTTATAAAGCTTCATAGATTTTGAATATGTTTGTTTTGTGCTCTGGTGCCTAGAACAGCGAATAAAGCACACCGGTATCTCTATATACATGACGGAGAGGAGGAGTGTATTAGTAACTTCAAGTTATCATAAAGCTTCCCAGAAGTTACACCTGGTCATTCATAATTCATTTCAGACTGCTCACCTAGGACACAGTATAGTGGGTAATAAGGCACATGCTCAGCCTCCAGAGCGCCAGCAATTCAGCAACACATTTTGGGTCTTAATACATCAAATACTTGAGCAGGTGACCAACAAAGCCAGGACCTGAAATAATTTGCTGACCCCCCAGGACACATCAGGTTCCTGTACACCAGGTACCTGCACCAGGAGCTAAGGACACTTGCAGAGCTGGCTGCATTACAACTCGCCAGGTTATTCCAGTTGACTGGGACATAACCAGGCAAGAAGTGGAAATCATCTGGCTGATATTTATATTTAGAGGACACCAGAAACCATAGCGTAAGACTGCCACTGTACCATGAATCAGTGCTAAGTAATTCTGAAGTACCCTGAAATATTTCACCTCCTCTTCCCCGCAATAAGATAACGATTTGCTATAGCACAGCATTAGAAAATCCCATCAGGTTATTTGGTCAACACACTGCCATGATCAGACAACTGGTTAGGCAGTCATCCAAAAATCCCACCAAGCTCCTACTGGAAAGCAGGAGGGTGCAGCAGTCAGCTTTACAGCACTGAGATTTTGACTGGTTTAAGGTTTGTTCCAAAAAACAATACAGAATTTCTTAGTTTTGTTGTTGGTCCTTGAGGTAAAGCAAATTCTAAGAAAATAATACTTGAAGACGGAAAAAAATAACAAAACTCAACAAGAACCCACAAACCTGCAAGCCTCAAGAGTATTTCCTTAAAAAGGTTTTCCTTGGGATGATTCAAACATCATTCCTTTAACAAAATACTAATCCCTCCTCCAAAGCAATATTTAGTGCAGCCAATTATCCTAAAAAGAAGGCCTTTGTGAAAATAAAGTGCTATTTGTTTCCTTTTATCTGTATTTCAATCCTTCAGGATAACCTTCACTTGAACACAGAAACATGCGACTAGATTCTTCATACTGTTATTGGACAGGTTTCGCTTTTTCCCTCCATTTTACATTAACAGCATTGCATTTCTATTCAGCACAATGTAGCCAATTACAGAGGAATTTTGAAGTATGTCATTGAGCATTGCAAACCATGATCCACACCCATGCTCTAGTGCCCATGGCATTTTAAGAGCATCTTGGTACATTGTGGGGGTGTAGTTTGCATTTACAGGATTTTTAAATCCCAAATGGATTTCGTATCATAAAAAGCAAATCTCAGAAAAAGGTCAATTTTGCTACTAAGACAAGTTAACATGGATTTCCAGAAATGTCAGTTTGAGCCTGTTGAGGTTAGGTTTGCAAACAGTCAACTGAACGTAACGCTTCTTGACCAGACATTTCCCTAGAAATTTCACAATTTTCCCATAACCAACCAATGAGATTAAAAAACGAGAATCACAATTCCATTAAGTCTTGGCCGCTGGTTTCCTGGTTTTCTCAGGTCAGGGACAAAACCCCAGAACCATATTTAAACGGGTCCCACCTTCCTCGGGCAGATGTGGGCTCTCGATGGACCAGCGGGCTGGGAGTGTGTGCTGCCCCGGCAGGGTCCGTGGGCGACACCGGCTCAACCAGCCACTGGCTCACTCTCCCGGTGGCTCCTGCTTGGCCTCAGCGACGTGCCGGCATGGAGTGGGTGCTGGTCGCAAGTACCGGGGGCTACTGTACATCCTGATCACGTGCGGGGCCTGGATCCATGTGTTGATCAGCTGGAAGGCAACAAGGTCCAGCGTGGGCCCGTCAAAGGCAGCCAGCAAGTTCACGGGGGTGGCTTCCTTGAGGAAGCGGGGCAGTACCACGGCCTCGGGGAGGCTGGTGTTGCCCAGGAAGAAATGCATCAGCACCTGCTTGCGCAGGCAGTCCCTGAGGTACAGCACCAGGTCCTCCAGCCGCTCCACCAGGAACCGCTCATCCCAGGCCTCCAAGGGCCCCTGCAGTAGCAGAGAGAAGAGGGCCGTCTTCAGCACGTAGGAGGAGAGCACCCGGCCCCACTGGGAGCAGAAGGGCTCTTCCAGGCCCTGCCCGCGGAGGTCCCGCAGGCCCTTGAGGATCTGTAGGCACTTGAGGTGGCAGGAGGAGGCCGGGACCTGCTCCTTCAGCCAGCTCAGCAGCCGCTGGTCCCGAAAGTTGAGGCCCCAGAGGGCCTCCGGGGCCAGGGGGGTGTGCGGGCCCTCGGGCGGCAGGGCTGTGAGGTAAAGCGCGTCGCCGAGGGGGATGGCAGGGATGAGGCGCACGGCCATGGAGATGTGGCAGCAGACGTAGTCGGAGCAGGGCAGGATGTGCAGCGTGGGCGGACGCCCGGGACAGGCCGAGAGGCTGATGCGGCAGCGC